TATTCCATTGACAAACTTATCAACGTTTGTATCACTCATCCCAATGCATCAATGAGTTGTAGACACGCATCACAATCATAAATTTAAATAATCAAATTTTATTTTATTCATTTCAAAAAAAAATATTCAATCATTCAATATTTAAAATTGTTCTTACATTCACCTAATAATAATAATAATTTACTCAGAGTACTTGTCTTCCAAACAATTTATTCACTGTGTTATTGACGACAATGAAAAGAGATTTTACTATATCATTTGAAATTTCATACTTCTTGATATATATCTGTCACATTTACAATCCAACTCTAATTTGTTATGCATGAAAATTATTTCTTATCTGTCATGTTCAGCACAGTTTTAATTTAAGATAAACAAATATTGTATAATAAATGTTTATTTGTTAGTATTATATTACTCGACCATTAGACGCGTTATACATATAATTGTTTAATTGAATTAATCAATAACAATAATAATAATAATAATAGTTTTGAACAGTGTTATTCATGAAAATAAAAACAAAACAAAAAATGGTTACTATTTATTAGTGTTGTTATTTCATTTGCATTGCATATCCATCTTTAGATTAGTAGTATTATTGTTCAAGATAATTGAAGGGTTGGATAAACAATACATTTGCATTTGACAGAAATTGATAACCATAATAACAAGCAAATCAAAATAAGAATAACGTATGATATAAATCATGACTGAATACAAATTATTATTGCATCATTGTTGATGAATTCCTGGTGTAGTGTTGTTATCTGTGCCACCTATCTTCATCCTCTACACAATTATTTACTTGAATTAGTAAATTAAACCATATGGAGTTGAATGACTTTGGTGAAGAAGAAAAGACAAACCAGAAAATAAGTTGTTATTTATCTGACTATTGTTAAACAATTCAATAACTCATTCAGCATATTTGTGCTTGTAAAGCAATAAAACTATTTGAATAGAAAATATCGCATTCGATAACAACACAAATTTCACTGTTGGTTTATAGAGTCAGCCAGCTATAATTGGTTTCAGAAGAAACATGGGTACAAAGTAGAGTTGTATTTTTTATATGCTCATTTAATTCAGGTTTGACAGATCATAACGATAGTTATTTTCGATGTCGAAAAATTGATTATTTGACTTTCTGGTTTAAATATTGAAAATGATTTTGTACAATCAATCTGAATGTAATAGTTAGAAATTTCAAACTATTATTGATCGCAAGACATGCACCAGAATTTGTTTCGTGGTGTCCATATTTACTTTAAAGAAATAAACTGCTATCATTAATGGGCACTAAACAGATGAGGAATTAATAATATTCAAAATGTTAAATTTAACTGAAATAATCTCAATTTCGTATATCTTTAAAGTTGATAGATATCACGAGAAAAAAATCCCATGTCAACTAACAAACTAGTCATGATTTGAAGGATGTAGGTTACAACTCAACCGCGATAGGCTTTAGTTTTAAGACTTGGTCTGATTAAATAAGCGGATTAGTTTATAGATCTAACTTGTCAATTGAACCAAATTCAATAGAATGCATGAATTCAATCTGGCCTAATTGTTAATTCTTAGGTCAAATAGAAAAAACCAGTTACAAACAATCCAAGCATTATGGTTTCATTGAAATTTCGAAAAAAAAATCATTTCCCCATCTCATAAATCAACATTCACACTCAATTTGAATTTTCGCGAATTGAATAATAATAATAATAATAACGATTTTCATTATAATTATGCTTTCCTTGATGATGATTCATAAAGCATATTCCATTGTAATATGCAAAACATTCACAATACATAGAAATATACAATTGTATATGACTCTATGCACAAGCTAAATATTTTGGGTGGTCAACTTGAAAATAAGTTCGAATTAGACTGTACAAAATAGCATATATTCTCCATATCGTAAAAGAAATCAGCCATATATATATATATATACCTTTTTTCTGTTGTGCTTTTTTCAAATTGAAATTTCAACTCCATCTGTCGTTCTCTGTCTTCTGTTATATTGAAAAGTTCAATGAGAAAAAAAACGTTTCAGTAAAAAAATAAGAGAAATATTATTTAGAAAAAACTAAAAACAAGCGTATTTTTGTCGAATAAAAAGGTGAACAGAAAGTTAGCTGACAAAAAGCTATTATGCATAAACATTTTGATTTTTAGATTTTTATCATGTGTGTATATCTGATGAATATTCTCATAAAAAATATCTCACCTAGTGTATATGTTGTGTGTGAATTTGAAAATGAGAAAAGGAAAGGAAATAAGCATTGTTTGTTCATCACACAAAAACACATAAACAATCATTGATATTCGATTTTCAATTCTTGTTGTCTTTGTTTGAGTTTTTCTATATTCTCAAACTGATTATAGATATTACAACATGATTATTAAGTTGATTAATGAATAATAATATAATGCTGAGAATGACTTGTTTTGCTTACATTGAACACATGCTGTTAGTGTTTGACGAGTAATGCCTACTTTATTTTTCACTGAGAGTAGAGGACATTCGTAGATTGCTTGTCTTCGATCATAGGTGTCTCCAAAGCATTCCTCGTATATGCTGGGACGATCGGGTAAGCAATGCTATCGTTAGGGAACGAGTTTTACGTAGGGATGGCAAATCAATCGATAGAGTATTGAAACTTCATCAGTTGAGGTGGTTGGGACATGTGTTACGAACGCCCAACCACCGACTGCCGCGACGAGCTATGTTTTGTGGGGTAGGAGTAGGTTGGACGAAAGCTAGGGGCCGCTAAACCAAAACATGGCAGAAATCAATGAAGTCACTGACAAGTGGACTAAGTCATGTTTATAGATGCAGCATGCCTAGTTGGGGTCCGCGAGACGAAAGTCACCATTGGTTAGAGACCATGGACGACATGGCTCACAGTCGCTTGCAATGGCGCAGGTGCATCCACTCTTTGTGTTTTCTCAAATTCTAATTTTCAGAATTCCTCATCATCTCTATGTTTCTCTTTCTAACTTTATCTCACTGAATTATACCCTAATCTTCTCCATTACTACTAATACTTTTTTTATCGCTACCGCTATGTGATTAGAACTGACAGTTGCGTCTCTATGTTAATACGGTCTGCCAACCTGAACTGATGTACATGCGTACGAAGTTTTGCGTTGTATCTGTCTGTCTGTCTGTCTGTCAACTTTATTTATCACTGATTATTGCTGTATAGTATATTATATTTTTTTATGATAAATTTTAGTAAGCAAAGAATTATACATAAAAGTCAATGGAAATTATTGCGTTAGTAGCTTAAAGAGTAAAATCATTTGCTGTACTATGTGTAATTTCACATTATTTTTTGTCTTAGTGTATATTTTTACCAGGTTAAATCCAAAACTCTCATATTTTTAAAGATAACAATCTATATATTAATCTATGAAATGGTCTAGTTACCTCCTTGCTTGATATTAATTATGTTATAACCTAATTACAATGGGCTTATTTATACTGTCTTCATCACAAAGTATTTAAACATAGTTACTTTACTCCAATGATCCAAACCACACTTATGAGTAATTGGCCCTAAACTGTCCAAAATTTCTATTGCCACCTGTAGGATTACAGTTAATTCGTAATGGAGTACATGAATTTAGAGGTTAGAAAATAAAATATAAAGTGATATTGTAAGTGGATCAGCAATATTTGTAAACAGACTATAAAATCTGTTTCTCTTAATTTTTGAGGCTTATAAAATGTATTCCTGACTTTATAACATTCTCACTTTCGTTCAAGCAAGCAAAAAGTTTTGATAGACCAATATACAGCAAAACCAGTGAACCATTTTTAATTATTTGAATAGTTGGAAGTGATATTAACTTATTACAACACAGTTGTCACGAGCTTTTATAAATTCAAGACTTGTTGTTTGCAAGATCAAGGTCACATAAAATCCTGAGCTAATTTATAAGCCTTTAAATCTTAACCTTACTCATTCAACGTTCTGGTCATCTGGCCTCTTCAGGCTACTTTGAAATTCGAATCTAGTGAGTTATAAAACTACAGTGTTAACAGATGCTAGTATATAGTTACAAATATGTGTCACTTAAGTACACAGTGTTAATTTAATTTTTATTTAGCGCATATATCTATTTATTGAAAAGCACATTCTTGGCATCCTTGACAAACTAAGGACTTATTCATTTTTGTTACTTTTCACCATCTACTTTAGGATATAATACATTGTGGTGTTAAGTAACTCACTTAAATAACCATAAGTTAACTCTAAACGTGCTGATCTATAATCAAAACTACAGTAAAATGCAAATCAGTATCAGGTTAACAACTTATGAGTATCTTTTGAATTTCGTCTTGATATAAGTAAAGAACCACTTACTAGTTGAACCCTTCAAGTAATTCAACATCCATAATCCCAGTGGAAAAAATACTTTAATTATACCTATCCAGAATCTTTTATTCGTCTTTCTTTTCCCACTGCTAATAAAGACAAAGCAAAATTAGTTAACTAAACGTTGCCGCTTTACTCAAAAGGCAGGTTTCAAATAATCCAGTAAGCTTCAGTCAGTTTAGGGATTTTAACCCAAACTTTCTATCACTTATATCTCACAAAATTTATCGTCCATTAACTGGATAAACATCAGTTACTTGAGTCCCATTCCAAAGTTGAACTGTTTATGATGTTTGATAAACCCTGTAAACCAACTGTATTATCTATAATCTAAATATCATGATTCTTCGCATACTCTAATTACATATGTCAGAGCTCATAAAAGTCTATCGTTCGACACAACTCTTAAAAATGCTAATTCCTAGTCAAATATAAACACACAGATTGAGTACTTTCTGGTAGTTCTAATTCTATGAATATCAACCAGCTCACTTAGCATATGTTTACGTCTATTTATAGACAGTTATCTAAACTAATAACTTAAATATTTATTTATGCATGAATTATTACTCTACAACTGAATGACAATAATATATTTACTATTTTCAGCTTGTTTGATTACAATCTCACAAGAAAATAAGAAGGAAAACAATTACAAAATTGAAAAAACACTCTCACATTTCTACATGAGGTAACCTTTCCAGGAAAGTTTTGAACAAAGGTGAGTAAGTTATATTTGCTTAACTTTTCGCATCATATATATATATATATATATATATATATATATATATATATATATCAACCTTGATAATGTGTTATTTCTTAAAATTTCACCAATTTCTGTTTACATATATAAATTCAGTGTTATTCTATTGTTGACAGGGTGAAATTAGGTCAAAAATTGTATACATATATTTGCTTCAAATTCATTCATTTGTTTACCTACTCTGTTTAATTCTTCTTTCACCAGCTCATTGCATTATTGCTTGATGAATAGAGGCAAATAAAAATAGTAATCAGAATTTAGGTTTTATATTTGTCAAAGAAAATAAGTGAACATGTCTACATTTAGCTTACAATACCATTGATAAAAACAGTCGGTCGGTAATTAATATAACCACTCATTAGATAACAGACTCTGATTGTGAAAATTAGAGCAGCAAATATAAGCAAACATCAATAATTTCAATCAGATCATCTTCAGGCTTTACTCTAATATATATAAATATTTATGTGAAACTATTAAAATAATCGAAGCAATTTATGAATCAAGGAAATAGACTACATTACCACACATATTTGGTGATAGTAGGAAGACAAGTGCACTAGTAGTGATGATAATAGTAATAATAATAATATAACAAAAGTCCTAGTCGATTGTTCAACATGTGAAGTATTAGGTTGAACTTGGATAAACAGACTTAAAATAATAATTTCAAAACATTATTCGAATTAGATAGTATTAGTGGTATTGTAGTGAATGAGAACACAGGTGGGGCAACCGAATTGTATTTTACAGAGTTACTCAGTAAAATCGGAAAACCATATCGTAAATCGTTCATTTGCAAAAGATCAGTTCATCCTATGGAACTGGACTGTTTCTGTTGCCAAACATCAATCCATTGTCACTATTCATGCGTTTTGTACAAATTCCATTGTTTTCTAACTCTTCCTTTCTTGATCTTCCCCCCGCATTATGCTACCAGACTTTACGTTGACACTCACGTTATATACTACTTATAAGTAGTTCTCACCACAGCACCACAGTATTAGTAGGAAGTGTGTAATTAATTTGTTAGTGAAGAATACAAACAAAAAGAGACGCGAACTGACGAGTAAATACAGGATGTAGAAATAAGGATAATAAAACTAAGTTATATCCGGCCAAGTGATGGACAGCGGTGTTACGAATTTCTTCTGATCACATAAACTAGGGTGATTTAATCAGTGCTCACCCGAAATAAACCTCTTCGTTTCAATAAGTAATATTGAAAAATTGTTTATGTCATGAGGTCTACTTTTATGAATCCAATGGAATCAACAGTTGTTTTTAGGTGAAAATTCTGCAAAGAATTAAATAACAAAACTGAATCCTTAACCATTTTATAAATGTTTTCCTCTGTAACCTAGCTGTATAGAAAAATGAACTGGATAGATTAAAAGACATCATAATGTCGCATAATGAAAATCGGTAACTGCAACCTAACTGGAAACATCAAGAATGGTGTTGTTTTGATTCATAGATGATAAAGATGAGACAAAAATTACCCCAAACGAAAAAAAAAGGAAACAAAATAATTAGATTAGAAAAGTCGATAATCGATCACACAATGAGAAAAATGGTATTTTGAAGTGAATGAAGTAACGAATAAGTTAAATTAACCAGGTAAGAGGGAGTAATCACGAAACTAAATTACTATGATAGCAATGAGTCAACAACAATTTGATGATTCACATACAGATTAGATTTATGTCTTTTTGAAAGCAAGTAAATTAGCAAATGATAAAACCCAATTCTATTCTCTTCTGAACTTATTCAATGTGTGTTATCAGTTACTGGTTATTCATTAATTATTTTTCTGAGGACTTTAACTCTAGCTGAGTAAGTAAGTTTTGAAATGCTCTGAGAAATCTAACTCTTTTCGTGATGTCCGAGTACATATAAGTCTGTCTACACATGAAACGTTTGTCCTGTTTATTTATCGATTTATGACAATTTCAAATAACATTAGCTATCCTTAGTACTAGTTAGTGATTTTTACTTACATATGGTTTCTATGGTAATTGTAGTAAATTTACCGGATGAATTATAAGTGAAATTTCTAAAAAAAAATTGTTTCCGGTATTTATCCTACTGTTGAATAACTTTTAATAGTTTTTAGTATTAATATTCTAAATAAATTTTCTTTAAACTTCAATTACAAATCAACTTGTAAAGTCATAGTATTCATAAATGATTTATCATGATATTTTAATCAGATTTATTGAAAATTAATTACTTGAAAATATCTACAGGGTAATTTTAACAAAGCATCAGATTTGATTGCTTCATTGAAACTCAATATATGGAAAATTTGCCCGAAAAAATAATGAAATTCTATGATATTTTTAATAGCAGTCATATTGATTTGCGTTTTGAAATGTCAGTGAAGTTTAAAAATTATTATTTTGTGTGCTCGACCGAGCATCAGATCTTTTTTTGTGTGTCAGGGCTAGTATTACAACTCAGCTCTTCAAATAGTAGGCGAAAAAATGAACTTTGAGTTTGCAAATAGAGTGCTTTCGTTGTTAAGTAAACGATTATTATGTTTAGTTTTTAACGGTATATGTTTTCACTACACAACGCAGAACTTCGTACGTAAGTACATCAGTTCAGGTTGCCATTCCACATCAGCACAGAGACGCAACTGTCAGTTCTAATCACATAGTGGTAGCGATAGTAGAAGTATTAGCAGTAATAGAGAAGGTTAGGGTATAATTCAGTGAGATAAAGTTAGAAAGAGAAACATAGAGATATTGAGGAATTCAGAAGGTTAGAATTTGAAAGAACACAAAGAATGGATGCACCTGCGCCATTGCAAGCGACTTTGAGCCATGTCGTCCATGGTCTCTAACCATTGGTGACTTTCGTCTCGCGGACCTCAACTAGGCATGCTGCATCTATAAACATGACTTAGTCCACTTGTCAGTGACTTCATGGATTTCTGCCCCTAGCTTTCGTCCATCCTATTCTTACGCCACAAAAATATGGTCCCGGAAGACAACTATTGTAGGACACTAAATGTGTGTCTGTGTTCCAGGACCTATTGTAATTTGTAAATGTGGTCTGTTCATCCACGTCCAGCTCTGAAACCAACCTGGTTTTCTCGAGTCTGCTCTTCACGAGCTCTAGTTAGGCGCCTAAGCATAATCGATGCTAACAATTTAGAAACTATTTTAGTTAGACTGATTCCCCTGTGATTGTCACAAGAAGACTTTTGTCCTTTCTTATAAATTGGGACAGTCAGTGATTGAGACCAGTCACATGGGATTGTGTCCAGTTCCCGAATTCTACCTAAGATTTCAGTCAATCTAGCTGCTAAAACTGGAGTACTATCCTTAAATATCTCAGGAGTCAATCTATCATGCTGCTTTCCGTTGCTTCAGATTTCCTATAGCCTTCATAAAGGTCCGGAGGGCCTAGGTCGACTTGCCATTCGAGGTGACTGGAGATCGAGGGTGTGTAGGTGTGTAGGTGATGTGTAGGTGAAGGCCAGTTGAACTGATCCCTAAAGTGTTCTGCCCATCGATCCAATCTCCTGGGTTGAAGATGGGTAAAAAGCCCATCCTTTTTAGAAATAGTTCTGCTTACAGATGGATTTCTAATACCAGTCTCCTTGATAAGTCGGCACAACTGTCTGCTGTTGCCTATCGCCTCTGCCTTTTCTCTCTCTCTCTCTCTCTTGCTTTCACTACTCACCACTGTTCTTGATCATTGCCCAGGCTTTTTGATCAGCCTGTGGTTACGCTGACTTAGCTCCTCATTGCACTCAGAACCAGGCGAGATGAGCTTTCGAGCATCCATCAGTTCGATGAACGCCAATGAGATCCACGGCTTCATTCTAGCCTTATGGTTTACCTTGCTAGCGGATAACACTGCTGTTTCCACAGATATTTGATATCGTTCCAACCTGCTTCCGGACGGAAATCGCTTATATGGTCTCCTAACTATCTTTCTAGTCACTCCTGAAATATATTCTTAGCTAAGCTATCATTAATTAGAAAACCCAAGAGGTTTCCTTACGGTGTCTTTCCTACGTCCAGTAAGCCTCAAACAAATACGAGCTCGTACTAGGGCATGATCTGAATCTAAACATGTGCTCCAGAACGAGCGACAGTCCTCCATTGAACCTCTCCATCGGTGGCTGATGGCAATGTGATTTAGTTAGGTCTAACGTTGAGACGACTTTGAGGTCACCAGGTCAAAGGATTTTTATCCTTATGCCTAAAGTTAGTGTTTGCCAGGAATAGGCGGTTTCCTGAGCATAGTTGCAACAGACGGTCACCATTGTCTGTTCTTTGGGCCGTGACACCATAAGATCCACACTGGTGTCTTTCATTTTCACTTAGACTACCTACGTGAGCATTCAAGTCACCAGCGATTATTACTACATCAAAGTGCTTAGCTTTTTGGAGGAGGTCCGAAAGCTTTCTGTGAAACTCATCTTTCACCTCGTCTGAACTGCAGTCAGTGGGAGCGTAGGCAGATACGACGAAGAAGCAACGGCCAGTGTCCCTATCTTTCCAGGTCATTACTGTTTCGTTCACTCGGACAGCGGACAAGCTACTATCTACTGAGATGCAGTCTGGGAGAGCTAGTTATGCCCTACGACTCAATGCCATACCTACTCCAGCAAGACCCCAAGAAGCAGCATCAGGGCTACCGGATACACGAAGGGTAAATCGTGCTGCTTCTTTGTTTTGATAAGGTGAAATCAAATTAATGATTTTACTAGGATCCTGTATGCGCGTTTCCGAGACGCAGCATACATCGATGGCCCGAGATTCTAATGTCCTAGCTAATGAAGCCTGTCGCCCTATTTGACGCAATGTCCGTACATTAAAAGCTCCAACATGTAGTCTAGAACGGGGTTTCAGGAGACCAGGAATAACTTTTCTTGAACTCTCATCGTTTGCATTAGCTGTGCAGTGAGATGAGGGAATGTGAGTAGAGTTAGTTGTGGAGATAAGAGAGATTTTAGGGCTCGTACACAGTGCCAATTACTACTATGATAAATATTTCACAATTTATGTATTTAAGAGTATCTGCGTAGTTTTATTGATAGTTAGAGTTATTATCCAGTTAGCGATTGTGTGTTACGTAGTTTTGCTATTAAGTTTACTAATAAAAAAGAGAAGGAGACAAATGCAAATAATGTGGTGATTTTCCACTTCAACACCGTAATCAACGAAGTAAAATAATTGTCTAACGGTGCTTCTGTAATCGGACCACGTTTAAATATCTGTAACAATGAACTAACACCACATTAACATAAAAAATAAAAATGTCTGTAAGCTGACTTTTAAGTATAATTGCTAATTAGTAAGATAACGTTTTTCAAATCTACTTCAATGATGCAACCTTTAATTTGCCATAACCTTACTTCGATACCATCCAGAAGACGTTTAGCATATCTTTTAACTGAAGTGCGAGACAGTGGGGAAAGCCATTTAATGCCAGATTACGTTTCATTCTTCTTTTTGAAGAACTAACTTTATGCACTAGGGATATATAGAGTCTAGTTTTGAAATGCACACAGTCCTCATTATTAGATTTACCGGTGTATATGTAGCTGTGCAAATGAATACAGAGAGAAGTTGAACCCAGTTTTTAATAAAATACTGATAAACATATACAAACATATACAATCCTTGGTTCGATTAAAAGTGGATAGGACACACATCACGAAAAGCACCTAACTGCGTCACAAGACAAGCCCTCACTTGGAACCCTCAGGGCAAAAGGAGAAGAGGAAGGCCAAGGAACACATTACGCCGAGAAATAGAGAAAGACATGAGAAGAATGAACAAAAATTGGACAGAATTGGAAAAGGAAGCCCAGGACAGAGTTGGTTGGAGGAAACTGTTGAGCGGCGTATGCTCCATTGGGGATGACAGGCGGAAGTGAAGTGTCCTGGGTTCGATCGCTTATGAGTTTTTGATGTTTACTGTATGTAGTATTCCAAACCACATTGAAGCTGCTGATTCAAAATAAGGAGAAAAAAACAAAAATATTAGATAAGAATCTATCATATATCATGGTTAGATAAGAAGTGTAGTGTGAATTCACTAACTTCATAGGTTTTTCCTACACTGATCAGAAGTTAGTTTTTAAATAAGTCAAACTGAGAAGTACTTAACAATCATATGATCAAAACTTAGTGTACAAACATAATTGACATTATTATAAAATTGAATTCCCATAACCATGAAATAAAACACATTACCTAGTAGATTATATAATTGCTTTTTCTAAACAAATAATTTTAATTATTGACTTAATTGAACTTGATTAATCTTTAATGATTAAAATTTAAATTCTAACTTCAGCTAGTTCAGAATATTGTGTGTCTTATATTTAAAATGTAAAAACTGAAATTGTTTACTTTTAGTTCAATATAACGATCTAATATTATCACACTATCAGGGTGAAACAAGTCGTGGATGCGCACTGCTGATGAGTCGCGTACCAGGACGAAACGGCCGTTCAGTGCTTCCAAGTTTCTAAGGATGGTTTAACAATGATTGATTGATTGATGATTTCAAATTTGTAAAAACACTCTACCCCAAAATTATGGTTCCTTAATATAATTTAAATATTTATTCCTACTTGCGTGATATTCTGACCTTAAAGTAACTTGTCAAAATATCGTTTTCAAGCACAAGTTGAAACATGTCATTAGAAACTTATTACTTGATGGGCTTTTTTTATCAAACTAACTAGTTTCCATTAATGTAATCCTATCCTTTAGAAATGTATTACATCGTATCAGAAAAAGTGAAATTATTTTATATCTATCACTCATTCTTCTTTATGCACATTCGTCTATTGGCTAGCGAATGTAAGAACATGATTTTATTTTTCTTCCAATTAATTAATCATTCTAATTAATTTTGAAAAATAAAATTAATTAGATGTCTGTAGGTTTCATCATGTCAGTGGTCTTCTTCTTCGTCTTCTTTTGATTATTATTATTACTATTATTATTATTTTAGAAATTTATTTAATAGACAAATCAGTAGGTTTTTTGTTATTTGTCTACTTTTCTGTTAGCAAACTGTAGGCCAAAACCTTCAGTTTGTCAAGTTTGTGTTTTGTTTTATTCTGTTTTTTATTAAAATTTTAATTTTCAATCTAAATGCAAATTTTCACATTTTTTACTACATATTTACGGTTGACTGATTAGTTTACGTTGGTTGATTCGTTTGTTGAATTTTATTTCTAGTTTCTATTTAATGTTTTTTTTTCTCTACACTGTCATCTACTTGATTTTAACCAACTTTTTTTTTAATGACTTCTTACATTTAGTAGATGGTGAACAAGACTGTTCAAAAGTGTTGTGTCTGTGTGTGTGTGTGTGTACGTGCATACAATTGTGTAAATACATGCGAAAATTATTGTTTTTATTATTTAACTGAACTGTATACTACTGAATGTTTGAGAGGTTAAATGGCACATTCAGTCAGATGCAACGTAGAACTTCGTACGTAAGTACATCATTTCATGTTGCCATACCACATCAGCACAGAGATGTCATTGTCAATTCAAATTCAATAGTAGAAGAGGTAGTAAAGGTATTAGAAGTAATCCGAGAGGTTGGGATTAGAAAATATTATTCAAGAAGTATGATTCAGTGAGAAAAGTTTAGAAAGTCAAAACTAGAGGTGTTGAAGAATCCAGAAGATTAGGATCTGAGAGAACACAAATGCACGTGTGCCATTGCAAACGGTTTTGAGCCATGTCAGTCAGGGTCTCTAACCATCGATTATTATCATCTCGCGGACACCAACCAGGTAATCGACAACTACTGACATGGCTAAGTCCACTCGTCAATGACTTCACGGCATATTGTGGAAAATTGTCCATCCAGACATCACAAGAATGTATTTACTTGTTAATTGCAGTCTAGGCGGATGTAAAGTGCTCTAATAGCTACTGCTTATATGTGGTATCGGTGTCATTTTCAACTTGTGGAGATTGCTGAGTTTTCTTGAAATCATGAATCGATCAGATCATCATTAGAAACCTGAAAGCACTGGACTACCGTTTCATCCTAGTATAGGATTCATGATTTCAATTGAACTCGACCATGACAACTGCTCATAAACATCTTCTGAACTGTATATATAAAAAACGACAGTCGGTTTCTCTCCCATCCAAGTCTACTTAGTTTTATCAGTTGTTTTTTTAAAGAATTAAATAAGCATTCTATTGAGTTTCGTTTGTCTAGAACTTTCTAAAAACCTCACTTTATAGAGAATAAGACTATCACAACATGTTTTAATTTGTTGCATACCATCTCTTAAAGCCTTGTATATAATAAAAAATGAAAGTTATACTTACGTTTATCTAATGACCCTGAGGCTTTTCTTTCAATATGAACATTTTAACGAAAAATAATTCATCTTCGTATAATTTCGAAAGCTATGAAACCAAAAGAATGTTAAGTTTACATTCACCTTATTCTAGTTGAATGGAGAAGAGTGATTGTTAAGTTCCATTTCAAAATAACTCAGTTATTTATTTAAGTTAGTGACTTTGACAGATCAGATGATGATTCGTAGAGAGGTTTTTAACCTAGAGAAACCTTGTTTAGGTACTTTTAGAAGCTTCCATTTCACGATTCAGTTATATGTTTACTCGACGTCAAAGATGATGACATTCTTGTTAATCTTAAGCTCCACCAGTCAGTTCGTAACAAAAGCTAGTTTTAGTTAAACACTCAACTTACTTAATGTACCAAAGCAAGCGCATTTTGTTATTTGTTCAATAGCTATACAACTATTCATTTGGCAGAACCATTGAAAGGAGTAATATTTTAGGAGTAAAGTATTTTGCGTATTCTAGTCATAAAAAAAATACATCAGTTTTCATATACTTCAATTTCGGCTATTAATAAATGTAATCATTTTGTTTTAATAGAAAAACAATACATCCAAGATTCAATAACAATATGGAGAAGATTTTAGCAATTAGTCAGTGAATTCTCTTGAACAATGAACTACATTTATCAACAAAAGCCTGAACAGAACTTATTTCTTCTATTCTTCGTCATTTTGCTGAGTAATCATCAATCAGTTTCAAGTTTAAGTTCGAACGAATTATGCTTCAACAAAACATGCAGTGGTTGCATTGCTGGATCACTATCATGTCAAGAAGGTGGACTTACGCACTTACCAGATCGTCTTAGCTCTGATATTCAGTCTATGATATTGATGGGTCATAAGTTTAATAATCCAACTTTAACCAGTGATAACTTCTCCACATATATTCAACAAAATGTTAAACTACAACGTCTTACTCTTCGTAATTGTGGTATCCAGTCAATTCAGTCACGTACATTCCAATCACTGAAGAGCTTACAACAGTTAGATTTATCTCAAAATCGAATCAAAGCAATCTTGAAAGGTACTTTTGAAGGTTTACACTTGGATTTTTTACGTTTGGATGAAAATTTTGGTTTAAGTATTGAAGACGGTGCTTTTCAAGATACTTCTATTGTGTCATTGTCTATGAATCAGTGTGGTCTCAAAGTATTAAGTTATAATGTTCTTTTACCATTGATAAATAGTAAACAACTAAGAAATTTACATTTATCAGGCAATCAGTTAACTACGCTAGAAAGTCGTCTAGAACCTACTTTCCTTCAGCTGCAAAGTTTATCTCTGGAACAAAATCCCTTTAATTGTGATTGTAAATTAAGTTGGCTTGTATCTGTATTGAACAGAAGACAAGTACAACGACGTGCACGAGGTTTATCAACATTTGACGATGATATCGATGAACTTGAAACTAATTCATTACATAAATCGAATAGTTTAATGGAAACGAATCAACATAATACACCTTTGGATGGTGATTTATTAAAACCATTATGTCATAATCCAAGACGACTAATCGGACGAAGTATTGAATCATTAACTTTATCAGATTTTTACTGTGGTACACCGAAACTTCAAGTTATTGAAGTTGACTTAGGTCAATTAACAACTTTCTATCAAAAACAAAATAACAAGAAAAAATTAAAATCGGAGAAGTTAGAACAAGAAAATGATGATTCACTTATTATAACTGTTAGATGTCATGTGAAAGGATCACCAGAACTGCAAATGGACTGGTATCGTCCAGCTAATCATGACAACAATAGTAATTATGAACAAATAACAAATATTCAGTCATATTCTTCTACACGAACTCAATATCATCCTAATCAGCAGCAACTTATTCGCATTCCAAATTCCAAAATACTCAGATCTGGTGGAATCGAACTAAAATTAAGTCGAAAAATAAACTTAAAAGATAATAACTCATTGAAACAGTCTGATCATCAGCCTACAATATCAACAACTGAGAACTTGATTTGTTTTGCCACAGATTCTAATGGAAATACAAGTGCTGAAATAGTTTTTCACTGGCCAACTATTGAAAGTTTACAAATGATATCAGATAATCTTGGTAGTTTTCAGACAAAAGTTCAAAATCCTTCCAAATTATCTAATGATATTAATGAAAATATTATACACAAAGAGATAACAAGAACAACTAATGAACGTTCTACAGGTAATTATGAAATTACACCTGGTTGGTATACAGTTTTACAAGATGATCCAGAAAATATGTTATTTCAGGTAAGCAGTGATTGATTTCTTTGAAAACTTGTTAATCAACGATTTTGAACTTTTCATAATCAATATGAAATTTCAATTCTAATAAATATTAAAAATGTCAGTCTTTGAATTCAATAAGTAGTGTTTATCTGTTGACTGAGAAATAAATTTGTAATGATATATTTTACGGATTTGATTAGCCTGAATAAACATAAAGTACCGTCCAATTGTGTTTAAATAAGCTGACATTCTTCTAAAACAGTTCAAATAATGATAACTTCAGTTTGAAAGTAGTTTGAAAGTAACTTTAAATATTTGTCACATACACATACGAAATGGGTATTCTCCTGTACAAGAAAGCTTGATTTGTGGCAAGACTTAGATAGGCGCCCTCTACTTTCATTTTGAATTTTCGTGGGTTTATGCATTATTATTGCTTATTATTGATGGTATCAATTTATGAAGGTTAAATTCGATGTATGTTGAGTTGCCGCTGAATACTTGATCAAAAAATGTAATGAATTTTTACTGAGTCAAGTAGATTTAAAAAAATGATAAATTTACGTCGTACATGTTTGATATCCAGTCAATATTTATTTATCAGTCAGAAAACCCATGGTTCTGCTTTGGAACTCACAAAAAAGGAATTTCTACAACCTTAAGCCAGATTCCAACTTGATGGTATATTGGCAACAACATGACGCGTATCATTTAACATAATTAATACAAATCGACATTTTATTAATGGTTATAACGTCTCTGTAGCTGAACTAGTCAGTAATCGACTTCTTAACTATGAACATTGATATACATCCTATTTCCTTGATTTTTTCATCATGAGCTCATTACAGATGACTCAATTCAATTACAATGTTTTTTACCACTACTTCGTACATTAAATTATTTCCCATGATATTCTAGGCTAATAACCCATCGTACAGTAACTCATTTTTATTATACATTGGTATTTTTCATGTTGATTGGTCAGTCAGTTCTCAATAATAAACCTTGTTAACAGTTTACAATTATATTGTAGGTAGCCTATTTACAGCTAAGCTTAGGATGTGTTCAATTAAAGTGTGTTTCTTATTTTACTGATGACAAGAAATATGTTTGTAAAACTTATGGATTATTGTTGAACCAATCTATTATACTATTAAGAATGCTCAGTTATAATGTACTTGCCTTTAACAGCAACTTTTTACTTCGAACTACCAAAATCATTTAGACTCACAATGAATTATTTTGAAAAGTAGATATAAACTAATCTCTCAAAGCTATTTATGTTATACTATACATACTGTAGCGTAAATAAAACTTATTAGTATTAATGAGTTCAATTAAATGTACGTATACAATAGATTACTTCATAGTACGACATGCTATTTATTGATTGAATTAAAAATTATGTATTTCAGATTTCAAATAATGATTCTCTTCCTGAACCAACCAAAATGTATAGTGAAATTATTATGGATTGGTTAAAATTGTATATTAAAAGTAATACGTTAGTTTTAGCGCATAGGGTTTGTGGAAACTGATAGGTTTTAGTGGTTTGCATCACTAACTGATCTTAGTCAGAGAATCGTTGAAAACTAAGAAAAATAAATTTTTCGTCCTAATATATGACTCTTTAGTAATGCGCGAATAAGACCTCACCCAAAATTAAACACAAGATCTTCAAATCTCTCTACAATCACTTCACAATCAGACCATTGAACAATCATCAAATAGTGTACATTTCTGATGTCAATCAATCTGCAATACTGTGTAACTGTCTCACAGGTCGCATGGCTTCTCATCAGAACTCATGGAATTAACCATGCAGTTTTACCACTAGTGAATACGTGGTTGTTCTCGGCACGGCATGTTTGTTGCTTTTTGATACTTTTTACTGCTGATCAAGTCACAATTTATATGAAAGACAATGATATTCATTGTTTATCCTGTATGTTCAGTACAATATGTTTATTATTATCATCCTATCAGGTTTATCGAACAAATTAAATCAATATGCTTGTAACATATGTATAATGTTTTTTAAGCATAATATTAGTGAACATTTTATCGTTTGATAGATGATACAGTTATTTACCCATTGATTAATCGAATCATTCAGTCTAATTATTTGTCTATAAATAGGTGTTCATTTATTAAGCTAATAATTACAAGACTGATTCATCATTGAACGAATCGAAATTAATGGTAATTGTAATTGCAAACATTATCAGTTGGAGTGGTGGATGCGCACAGCTGATGAGTCCCATACCAGGACGAAACGGCCGTCCAGTGCTTCCAGGTTTCTAATGGTGGTCTAACAATGATTGATTGATGATTTCAAACGGTAAAAAAAACACAAACCTCCAAAACTCTGCCCCAAAATTATCAGTTATATGAATATTTTCCTTATTTATTAAAATTCCTTTTTTTTTACAGAAACAATTCTCTGTACTTGAAATGATTGGTGCAGTTGTTGGAACATTTACTGTGACACTAGCACTTTTTATATTTGGATGTTGTTTGTTTCGAATTCACAAACGTAGTCGGTATAAAGTTCGTTCAAAGATTTTACTACATCATACTACTTCAGAAAATTCTTATCGAAATTTTTCACCAGCATCAGAAAATTTAAAATCACCTCCTCATTCATCTGTTAGTAATCATTTATTGAGTAATACATCTAATAATAACGATAATAGTGTTATTAACCCCCCTAGTAATAACAACAATAATGTGTCCTATTCTCTCAATCCTGTACCAAATACATTAGTCAATTCTTATACAACAAGTAATTTTATTACTGCAAATGGTGGGACACTTGTAAATGAATTCAATGGAATGAAACATTTATCATATGTAACACCAACCTATGAACCAATTAATAATAGTACCACCGGTGATTTTCAAACCTCTACAGCATATTCTGATTCACAAACTTATGACTTACCACGAATTCTTCCAACACATTCACCACCGAATATTCCTTTACCTCCATTGCCAAATGGATTTATTAACACTGCTAGTAATGCTAGTCATGCACTTAGCCGATCAAATGAAATAGAACATAACAATACTAATATTATCAATACAGATAACAATATTAATAGTAATAATACTAATGCACCACTTTTGATGACCACTTTACCCTATATAAGGAAGACAGCACAACCTGTAAATGATGATATAAATCAATGTATAGATGCGTCAATTCTATCATCATTCCTTATGAATGATACACGAACTTTATCAGCAGCTATGTCGACTGCTACAGCTGCGGCAACATTAAATTTACACATGAAACATCAACAACAAAATCACCATTTGAACACAAATACTAATCATAATCCAATTACTCAACATAATCAGCATTTTACACAAAATAAAGTGAATGATAATATTGTAGTACAAAATCAATTGATTGATTTAATTACTCGTCAAAATCTTTTCAATCAACAATTGCACAATATACAACATTAAATAATAAATATTTGATAAACTAAATTTATCAATACTTAATTGTATATATATATATAATAATAAAAGAACAGCATACATATCTATTTATTTATTACATATAATAATATTATGAAGAATGATCAACAGATGTGATTTCAGGTTTCTAAATGTTTGAATACCAAAAACTATGATAATATACATTCATTTTTACTTCAAAAAATAAAAGAGTACTTTTATCAAACCAATTTCAACAATCAGTACTAACAATTTTTTTCTTGTGCTCAATATTTTTCGCGATAATGTATACAATGGATATTGTCAAAATCACTCCCAATTCATCAATTTATACGGAATTTAATTACTGTTCTTCTAAAAGAAATGGATCTTTAGTATTTTCTTTAATATTATAGCTGTATCTTACAATCTGTTTCCTGGTAAGACATTTAAAAGTGTTTGACAACGGTCTGTGTAAACTGCGGTTATAACCAGTTTGTCTTTGGCAACTGATAACAGAACAGTGTAAAAGATAAATCACTTTTATAGTTGTAATCAAAAGTCGGAAACCATATTATTTAATATTAACAGGTTACCTTGCACCTGGTTGCAACATATAACAAGTTATAACGTATCAATCATCTATAATTATGTAATTCTTTTAATATCCTGTTGTCCAATGAACATGTGGATATATGAATATGAAAAATAACCTGTTTGTTACAATTCACTCAGTTTTCACATTTTTAGATTCGAAAAAGTTTATCAGGTTACACAGCTTTAGCATTCAATGATTTCGATCAACTTTTTTTACGATATTATCTACATCGACTCTCTTTGATGTTTAACTGGTTCAATTGAAAAGTATGGCTTCACATCTTATTAATCAACTACTTTACATTTTGATAAAACTGTAACATCAGCTACATATAAGGTAATAATTGAATTTATATATTGCATTTTCAACCTTTCAATCCTTTTTGCACACATTTTATTCTGAAACTAATTTGTAAATAGACGCAGACATCTACAGTTATTTAAACTTCACTTATTTTTCCCTATTTACCACAATTTCACTTTGTTTTGCATCTCTGTTCCTTTTTTGCCTTCTGAAACAGGATGATCGAGTGTTATTTAATTACTATAAAAAAATATTTTAAACTCATATATATGATTTGTGTTTTCTCTCTGCTAACTTACATTCTGGCAGTTAATTTTCAAATTTATTTTCACTTGTAAAAAAAATAAGTTTTTTACAAATGACAATAAGCAGGGAAAATCATGTGAACGTGATATTTGTTTCAATTTACTAACTTTTAGTGGTTACTCTAAGTGCTTTATCTGAAAGGAAGTATGTTACAGTTAATTTAGAGCGCTCAACAGGTTACTTAGTAAATCAGTTGTTCCTTAAAATATGAAATTAGAAATGAACTGTCACCACGATGAACATGTGGTTAGTTCATACGTTTATAACACCTCTAATATCCCTAAGTCTATCAATTTCAGTTAAGGCTTGAGACTAGACAGTAAATGAAACTTTATTGACAGACAACCATTAATATAGGTAGATGGAATGTTTGCACAATATGAAAGACTGGGATAATAATTCAGGTTGCTGGAAAGATGAGATATGAGGTGCTGTTATACTCCGGCCACACACACAAGGAGTTGCACTGATGGAGTCTAAAGAATCAAAAAGAGCACTTATGGGCAGGGAGTTTCATGGACCCAGGATGATTAAAGCATCTTAAAAAATATGAAAGGGGATTGCAGTGATTATCATTTAGTGCTATGCACTCACCAACGATAACAATATGGACGATAAAGACCAATTCTATGGGAAGCTACAGTCATTCGTCGAGAAATATCCAGCAGAGGACTTGACCATTCTGATGGGAGACCTAAACGGCAGGGTTGAAACGGATAACAATGGATATGAAGACATCATGGGACGACATGGACTGGGAGAAATGAACGAGACCAGTGAGAGATTCGCAAACCTATGTGCGTTCAACAAATTGGTCATAGATGGTACCATATTCCCACACAAAAGCATACATAAAGATACATTGGTTTCACTAGATCCCAAAAAACAAGAATTGGTCACATCTACATCAACAAGAAGCTGACGAGAACCGTGGACGACGCGAGAACAAATCACCACCTGGTGGTGGCTAAAATGAAAATGCAACTAAATAAGTACTGGACAGTCAGGTGAACAGCATAAAAAATTTTAATACGGCCTTGCTTCGAGATACTGACCAGCTTAACGAATTTAAAATAGCTCTCAGCAATAAGTCCGAAGCCTTTCACTTTCTACTGAAAGAAGAGGAAACTAACATGGATAGTAACTGGTGAAGTATATAAGAAGCAGTAACTTCAGCATATCTTGAAGTTCTGCGCTACAAGAAGCGCCATCACAACGAACGAATCTCAGTGGATACTCTGAAGAAGAGATCATTCAAACTATTTAAACTCTGTCCTGTGAGTTGGAAAATTTTCATTTAGAAGATTTATCACATCTCATGATGAAAGCCGAGTTCCTTCGAGAGTCATGAGGCCGTTGACCCTCCTAAGAGCCAGAGCATGGCATGTTCGTACATTGTGGGACACCAGGAAAGTAATTCAGGCTGCTGCAGAATTGAAGAGATATAACCTGGAGGTGCTAGGAATCAGCGAAACACATTCGACGCAGGTCGGACAACAAAGACTAGCTTCAGGAGAGCTGCTGTTATACGCCGGCCATGAAAGAAGAAAACTCATCACACTCACAAAGAATTGCACTGATGTCGTTGATACTCTGAATAAGATTCAAGAGAGGAAGAACAAGAAGGCAGCAATCAGTATCAACCGAACAAGGGCAGGGAAAGTTAAAGGCACTTGCCGAATACACAGAAGCAAACAAGCAAGTGAAGAGAGGTATGACAAGTGATAGGCTAAAATATATGGAAGACCTATGAATAATGGCAGAAGCTACAAGAGAAGGAAATATGAGACAAAAATCGGTTTGACTCGTTCGATGCTAGCACATTACTGAATCCGAAATATCGCCTGTGCACCATGTTTCATCATTGAAAATACAGCGGAGCTAGAAATCTAAGATGAGTCATCTAACTGCAGATGAAACTAGGAATTGTATGAAATAATAGGAAGTTGTAATTAGATTGGCAGTCCAACTGGAAAAATGTCTAGAAACATTGTGTAAGTGCCCAAGCAGGCTGAAGTCATAGCATTTTGTATACTACGTGGCATTCTAGCCTTATTGTGGGTAATCTGATTAAAGATGGATAAATATCAAGGGTTATTGTTAGTACGGGTGTGTGTCCTGACTCTCAAAGCACCCAGGGTTTACTTTCAGAAGCTTATTGATTCCTTAAATATGAATGGTAATGGTTGGGCTTTGCTGCATACTTGGTTGGTTGGATACTGTTAGCGGACAGATAGCTTCTATCGATTTTCAAGTTCTAATTTGGAAATTAGTTTTTCTACAAAATGGGAGGGCTTGGGCGCCAAATAATAAAAGTTGATGTTCTTTTGAATTCGCCAGGCCCATAGAAAGTCTGACAACCAAAGTAATAATTCACGTTGGCACATGGAACATTGAGACTACGCCAGAAAATAGGGAGACTTTTAGTTTGTACTGCACTGAGGAATACAAACTCTGCTTTGCTTAGAATAAGTGAAACTCAGAGGATACAAGCCAAACAGAAAAGACTAGCTTAAGGAGAGTTATGGTTGTATTCTTATCGTGAATAGAAAAACGCTCCATACACAAGGAGTTGCTCTTCATTGATGGACGACTAATCTTCACATGATCAGAATCCTATGGACCTGGGTAATGGACATGAAATACTATCCCAAGTAGTGAATGGTCCATCCTGCCTGAAAAATGAGACAGAGAACTTAAGTTTTACATCAGCACTCGAACCTTTCTGTTTACCAGTGAGTATATGTCCAAAGTACGGTGTAGTTTCCTTGATGAGAGTTGAGAGGTTTACCAATGGAAACTGTACCGATATACAGTACGCAGTACCAGTATGTTTATCTGGTAGATATGAGATCAACAAAATGATTTCTCTATGTTGTGCAGAATAGTATAGTCTCCAAACTCAGAACAATACTGTGCCAGCCAACTACAGCAGTTAAGGAACGTGCTAAGGATTTTTCCGTATTACAGAAGATCTGGAACGCCTCCCGATCTGTAAAAGTAATGAATTTCCTTCCGAATAAATATTTCAGAAGTCGTTCCATAGCCTAAACCATAATCACTGCTTCTTGCTGATTTTACGAGCTTAATTTTTCAGCAATATGAAGTTTTCGACCGGGAAGCCTCACCGATAATATAAGTACAGGATATACACTAGGAGGGTAATTTTAGAGGGCACAACCACTTTGAAGAAATTCCGCCAGGCTTTGTAAGTGTAACCGTTATTCCAAACCCCACTTAATTGAATAGGATGTAATGATCTGAAATAGTCGATGGGCATTCAGATCTAGATAGACAAACTTAATACTTCTTTGGATTTCAGTCAGATTATTCTCAAATAAATGATGCGAAAAAGCCGTTGGTCACGTATGATGAGTTGTTATCATTAATAAGGTCATTTTGAAAAACTCTAATACTTTTAGGATTACTGACAACATTATTAACCACATAAACAGATATGGTTGAAGAAAAATTTAAGCCAAATGGAAGGTGGTTGCATTCGAATAAACCAAAAGCGGCATTAGATGTAGTTAAATTGAACAAAAACTGGTCTAATGTATTATGAAGATAAGCACCTTTTAAATACATTTTAGAGTACAGCTTAAATCCATGTATTTAATTATTAACAACTTCACCTTTTATTGCCGTATATATGTGCCTCAACAAACGAGAGTTCAGTGACATTCTTAAACACACACATATGCTCCAGGATTTGCACCACAGTTCAGATGGGTAACGACAGAACTATTTGGCGTTGAAGATTAAGTCGATTTAACTGTAAACTTCTCGCAGAAGTCATTCCGAGCACTATACACCACTT